CTCAGACATTTTGAAAGGTTTTCCTCATCCGTAGGCGATATTCTTGCATAATCTTGTATAATGAAATACACACATAGAAAATACCAAAATACACCCTCCCCCCCCCCCCTTCGTACGTGCCTGTCTGAAACTATTGGCGCTCCACTCTTACTTCTAATTACAAACTACTCTAAAAAAAAAGCAGAAAATCGGGGAACCATATTGGTGAAAGGTTGAACGAAATCGGATAACAAAATAATGATTTTTTTTCTTCTTCAAATTCTAATCTCTATACGTATTGGAATTTCAAATTGGTTGAATGGACAATACCACTCTGACGTAGTGCCGGACAAGTTTTTGAATTTTGTTTTCTTCTTCTAACATACAAAATGACATCACTGATTGATTGGTCCGTCTTTCCCCTCGTAACTGTTTAAGAGGATGGTGTTGTCCGCACTCAGGCCGTCACATGGGGTCTTGACCGTATTGACCAGAGGTCCCTTCCTCTTGATAACAACTACAACCCAATCAGTAAGCTATTCAAGTTTATTATTGATTCTGGGCCCTGTTTCATAAAACTTGATAGCAATAACAAGCTACAAAGTACTGTTATAAGCTACCAAAATCATGGCAACTGATTGGCTGAGCGCGAATTCGTCATAGAAATTTAGCATTTGTTATAGATAACAAGTTTTATGAAACGGGCCCCGGTTTCAATACATTTAATTGTTTGCATAAAACAGCCATAATGATCACCACTTTATATCACACTTGACACTCCTGGCTCACTATTGGCCCACTATTGACCTACCGATAGCACGACTGCTATTATGGCGCTCGACGGCTCGAGCATGTCAAGGAATCAAATTTGCCGGGCACCTAGTCACCTCATCCGGGTTAAGTTTATCAAAATGTAGATTATTGTCTTATTTATTTATTTATTTATTCAAGTTTTATTTAAAATAGAGGGTAGGTACGTTCAGTTTTAAAAACTGCTTTCCAAGCACGCCCACTAGGACGCCATAACAAATATGTGATATTCAAAAATACAAGGAATACATGAAAATATAACATTCATACAAAATAACGTTAGATGTGGCAGAGACATGTAACCCAGCCTATAGTTTGCAGGCACAAACCCTTATCAGACGTAGTGCGTAATAGAGTGTCTGATCTAAGAGACTATGACGAATGCACGGTCTAATAAAGTGCTCCTATAGGCCCTGTACTTAGCCAGAGCTGGGCTCATCTCAAGACTTAAGTGTCAAGTTTGAGTCTGTGTCAGCAGACTACACGTACACGTTTTTTTTTTTTGGGGGGGGGGGATGGGCTTATATTACCACACCATTTATCTATACACGGTTTATAGGCGTAATGTAATGATTTTGGTGCCATAATCTCACCAAACACTTGTTTATTTCATAATCTTATTTTCATAGTAGTTTCATTTCGGCTTCAAATGTTACACTATAATGATTTAAGCAATATAAAAGACTCAATTGAATATATTGATTTAAAAAACGTAACAGCATTTTACAACCCCCCCCCCCCACACACACACACACACACACACACACACACACCTCTCTCTCTCTCCTCTCCTCTCTCTCTCCTCTCCTCTCTCTCTCTCCTATCTCTCTCTCTCTCTCTCTCTCACTCAATTTCTATTTGTATCGCTCTCTCTCTCTCTCTCGCTCTCTCTGTCTCTCTCCCTCTCTCCCTCCATATCTAATCGTTCCTTTATCCCTTCCTCCCTCCTACTTTAGGTGTGATCGCCCTGATGCTTCAAGATGCCCCCACTGCTTCGCCGTCCGCCATCTCAAGCGCCCTGCTCAACAATGCTTCCACCGACAAGATTAGTGACGTCAAGTCTCTCTCTCCAAACCTACTCCTCTACACCAACTAATACCGCAGTCTCAGACGAACAAAACCGACACCAGGAGAGTGTTTCACAAAACTTGTCATCAGTGACAAATGACAGTTTTTGTTATAAGCTACTGAAATCCTTGCTTTGATTGGTCATCAGCAGATTTGTCACTGACTTTTGTCATTTGGTCATTGAAAATAGGCTTTGTGAAACACCCCCAGGCCTATTAAACAAATGATGTATTACCCTAACGGCCCCAAGTAGGTCGCTTTGGAATCAGTTTGGAGTCGGTTTTTTTATCGGCATGACTGAGGTATAATACCCCCATACAGTCACACCGACAAGACCAACATCACACGAACCAAATTACATATTACCCCCTAATAACAAAACATAGGTTGCTTTGGAATCGGTTTGGAAACGGTTTCGCGGTGTGACTAAATAAGTGCACACCTTTCACTAACTGTAATAAATTCAATTTTAATACACATTTTATGTTGTCACTTTAGAATTTGTTTGTCGTGTGTGTATGTCTCTCTGTTGTTGTTGTTGTTGTTGTTCGTTGTTGATGATGATATTTTTGTTATTTCTTTGTTTTGTTGATATAACATGATCGCTAAGATTTTCGCGAAATCAACTCGAGAGCAATTTTAGAACCCAATTTTATGTCTTTTAGAAACCACTTTCGGATTGCGTAATATGTCATGTATCAATTAGTGTCCGCCCGTCTCTGCTGGCGAGGTTAAAATGCGGGCAAAAACGTCTTTCGTGATTGTGGCGATCTGAAAGCTAATTTGGGATTGATATTGAATAAATTACATAGTAGAGTAAAAAAAAAAAAAAAAAAAAAAAGATTAATGCAAAGAGAGAGAGAGAGAGGGGGAGGAAGAGAGAAAGAGAGAGATAAGGAGAGATAAAGAGAGAGAGAGAGAGGGAGCGAGAAAGAAAAAGAGAGAAACAAATGGAGAGAGAAAGAGAGAAGGGAAGCAAGAGGAAGAAAGAGAGAAAGCGAGAGAGAGAGAGAGAGAGAGAGAGAGAGAAGAGAGAAGGGAAGAGAGAGAGAGAGAAAGAAGCCCCCTGTTACACCCACAAATGTAATAACGCCCACAAATGTAATAACACTTTACCCACAATACTTTACCCACAAATGTAATAACACTTTACCCACAAATGTAATAATTTCACCCACAAATGTAATAACCACTTTACCCACAAATGTAATAATTTTGAATCACCCACAAATGTAATAATGACTTTACCCACAAATGTAATAAATTTGAAGGGATATTTTGTCGAATTTGTCGAATTTGTCGAAACCCTGTAATAAGGCATGGGTATAGTGCGCAGTCTTTACTCCAGACCCGGTTATTTCAAAAATTTAAAAAATCGTCAAAACTAAGACCCCATTATCCTTTTCCTGTGGAATAACATGAGAATCGAGCGTAGTCTTTCCTCCAGACCCGTTTATTCAAAAGTATTTTTTTTTAAAAATTAAACTAAGACCCCACCATCTTCCAAACTAAGACCAGGTAATAAAGCATGGGTTTAGAGGGTAGTTTTTCTTCCAGACCCGGTTATTTCAAAACTTTTTTAAAAATCTTCAAAACTAAGACCCCATCATCTTATTCCTGTGGAAGAACTGTTGTTGTTGTTGTTGTTGTAGTCTTAAGGACGTGTGTCATTCAATTAGTACATGAGTATTGAGCGTAGTCTTTCCTCCAGACACGGTTATTCAAAAGTTAAAAAAACAAGAAACAAAACAAAACAAAAACCTTTTAAACTAAGACCCCTCCATCTTTCAAATTAAGACCTGGTAATGAAGCATAGGTATAGAGCGTAGTATTTCCTCCAGACCCGGTTATTTCAAAAGAAATAGAAATTAAAACAAAAATCTTCGAAACTAAGACCCACCATCTTATTCCTCTTTTTTTTCATTTAAAAATAAATTACATTATTACATATGTGGATACAACACGTCACAAATAAATGATTGGTCGGCGGTCACACGAACTGACGAATCAGTTAAAATGGTCCATATATATAGCACACAGTGTCTCATTGACTTTTGAAAGTTCACCCACCGTAATTTTTAAAATAGGTTACAAGCTCACCATTGCCTATAATACACATGTGAAACAAGTCGAACTTTGGACTCAGTCTGCCAAGTGATTGTAAGATTATAGGTCAAGCACACGAAGGATAAGAAGCATGAATTATCAATTATCACTTCTGCTATGTTCATTATGTCCATTTCATCCAAACCCCCACCGTAATTTTTCCATTTAGTAAAAGCAAACACGAGTTTAGCAAAAACATGAATATTCATGAACGGTCAGACAATACAGCCTTTTAGTACGTAACGTATAGTGAATGGGAATGGGCGATGATCCGTCCAGGAGGTAGAGGTCAGTGTTTTGTGCTGGCAATGTTCACACGAGCGAAAATGAGACAATCGGAGCAATATGCGGGTCTGGAGGAAAGACTACGCTCAATACTCATATTCTTCCACAGGAATAAGATGATGGGGTCTTAGTTTTGGAGATTTTTAAAAAGTTTTGAAATAAGCGGGTCTGGAAGAAAAACTACGCTCTAAACCCATGCTTTATTACCGGGTCTCAGTTTGGGAGATAGTGGGGTCTTAGTTTAAAAGTTTTTTTTTTTTTTTTTTTTTTAACTTTTGAATAACCGGGTCTGGAGAAAAGACTACGCTCGACTACGGCGTAAATATTCATAATTGAATGACACACGCCCTTAAGCCTAAAACAACAACAACAACAACGTTATTCCACAGGAAAAGGATTATGGGGTCTTTGTTTTGAAGATGTTTTAAATTTTTGAAATAACCGGAGTAAAGACTGCGCGCTATACCATGCTTTATTACAAGGTTTTAGTTTTGAACAAATTCGACAAAATATTCCTTCAAATTCATTACATTTGTGGGTGTTATACATTTGTGGGTAAAGTGTTATTACATTTGTGGGCGTTATTACATTTGTGGGTGTAACACCCCCCACCCCCCCCCCCCCCAACTGTGACATCCGCCATGCCACAGCCGTGAGACATATAGTAGCATTACATTTGGGAATCAAAATACAATCCTTCAGTAAATAAATATACACCAAACAAAACATACAAATCACATAAACACGATGCATTTTCTTTCATAGGTCGTTTAATTTGATAAAATCCAGCAACTGGAAGACTAGAATAATCAAAAGTTGAAGATTATATTGAATAGACTATCATTTCTACAACTTGTAATATCGCATATTGATATTCAGATTTTAAGTTTACATCAAATGAAAGAAAGGTGCTTTATAAATGCTATTAAAGGTACTCTATAATCATTATGATGAACATAATTCATGATAACAATCATGTAAAGGTTTCATTAAGGTAAAGAGAATGAAAGAAGTAATCCAAGGAGGAGGAGAAGAAGAAGAAGAGGGCAAAAAACGAAAATTAAGCAAGCTACATGCTCTTGATTCCAAAACGGGCATCGCAAAACAGAGATAGTTATGTAACTGGAAGTTGCTTGTGATTGGCCAGTCATTTCACGGAGCCTCACACATTCTCCGTAGGGGAACGACGCACCATGATAATACCTTTGACCGCTTCAGGCGCGTTCGTGCCACAGCTATCTCTCTTAGTACGCTATGGTTTATTCTTCTTGGAGGAACTCGGCCAGTTGTCGCATGATTTCCTTTTTACGTTCAGCGAAATCGTCGTCATCGACTTCAGTGGCACGTGTTACTATGGCTGTGGAAAGGCACAGAGATATTCTCCTCATTATCGTTGTTTGGTTAAATTTTGCATATGATTAAATTTAAAATGATGTACTATTGCTAATACACGACCGCAAAGACTCTCAAGAAATCAGCCCGAGGTCGATGTTAATAGCCTATTGTATATCCTATAGATAGATATCACGTTCGCATTACTTATTCCGCCATTGTAATTATCATACGCTTTAACAGATGATGGACCGGGCCACCGAAAAAAAACACTGATTTTTTTTTTTCGTAAAAATTGTACCTAAAACAAACAAAAAATGCAACAACAAAAATCCCTCTCTCCCCCACACTCACTAACATCCAAGTTACGGGCCTGACTCCGTAAACCGTTGGAAGAAAAAAAACAGCCGCTGGTTTCTCTTCTTTTAACGTGCAAGTGAATGGCAACTGTGGGCAACAAAGGTCCTGAGCGTCCTTAAATTTACCTCTTCATTTTTTTTAACCGCTGCAGTTTACCGCTGCATCTAAGAACAAGGCCTAAGTTTAATTATTCGAAAGTCTTGTTAATCGTCTTGATAATTATTCAGCTTTATACTTACGTGAGCATCCACCATCCTCGTTCTCCTCATAGTCTTCTCCGCACTTGCACCAGTACTTTCCGTCTTCCTCCACACACTCGCCGTTTTCGTTGCAGTCGTTGGTTCCTTGGCTGCAATCGGACAAGGAATAGTATTTACGGGCTAGCATCTCCACTTCCTCACGTGTTTCTATGGCTGTGTGTTATAAAACAAAGACGTATGTAAGAGTATTTTACTGTGAGATTAATTTATCCACTTGGAGAGAAATAAGAGTCATGAAACTGAATTTCAAAAGAGGCTGTCTGAAAGGTATCATAAAAAGGTTGATTATATTGTAAATAGTAAGATATACGAATGGCAGATTACGAATTCTCTGGCATGGAGGATAGGGGGGGGGGGGGAAAGAAGAAAATGTCATTAGGTTTTTGGTGTGTCGTTTTGGCGAAAACATTCTATGACAAGAAACAACAACAAAATCGGTGCCATCAGACCTCGTCTTCTTCATTTCTATTTTCAATTCAAATTTGAATTTGAATGTTGTCACACTGGCTTGTTGTATCACGACGACCTAACCGTACGTTATTAATGAAATGTTTATCAGAACAATTATCTACTAGAATTGATGTAAAGAATCAACACGAATCTACACGATCTCAGCACGTCCTAAGCCCTTTTTACACGTACACTCAGGCGCGGATCCAGGATTTCTTAGGGGGGGGCCCAAATTTGAAATTTTGCGAGCCAAATATTGGTACGTAATGGTGACCAACAGTGACATAATGCGGGGGGGGGGGTCGGTGCAGGGAGGGGCGAGTTTCCCCTCCCTCCTCCGCGAAACGCGGAAGCTTTGACGTTTTATTAAATTATTAGAGAAAGAAGACGATTCGTTGTACCTTTCTCGAAAAAAATTCTCGTCTGAATTAAGTTTTTCACCTCCCGCGCGAAGCGCGGAAAATTTTACGATTTATTTAACTATTAGAGAAAGAAGACGGTTCGTTGTAGAGTTTTCGACTCTTAATCCTCGTCTGAATTCAGGTTCCCCCTACCCTCTGCGCGAAGCGCGAAAGCTTTTAAGTTTATTTCAATCATTAGAGAAAGAAGACGATTCGTTGTACCGTTTTCGAAAATAATCCTCGTCTGAATTTAGATTGTCCCCCTCCCGCGCGAAGCGCGGAAGCTTTTACGTTTCATTAAATCATTCGAGAAACAAGACGATGCGTTGTACAGTTCTCGACTCTTAATCCTCGTCTGAATTCAGTTTTCCTCCTTCCGCGCGAAGCGTGGAAGCTTTTACGATTCATTAAATCATTAGAGAAAGACGACGATTCGTTGTACCGTTCTCGACTCTTAATCCTTGTCTAAATTCAGTCCCCCCCCCCCCTCCCCCTCCTGCACGAAGCGCGGAAGCTTTGACGTTTCAATAAAACATTAAAGAAAGAAGACGATTCGTTGTACCGTTTTTGAAAATAATCCTCGTCTGAATTTAGATTTTTCCCCTCCCGCGCGAAGCGCGGAAGCTTTGATGTTTCATTAAAATATTAAAGAAAGAAGACGATTCGTTGTACCGTTTTTGAAATTAATCCTCGTCTAAATTTAGATTTCCCCCTCCTGCGCGAAGCGCGGAAGCTTTGACGTTTCATTAAAATATTAAAGAAAGAAGACGATTCGTTGTACCGTTCTCGACTCTTAATCCTCGTCTGAATTCAGGACCCCCCCCCCCCCCTCTCGCGGAAGCTTTTAATTTTCATTAAATCATGAGAGAAAGAAGACGATTAGTTGTACCGTTTTCGAAAATAATCTTCGTCTGAATTTAGATTTTCCCCTCTTCCGCGCGAAGCTCGGAAGCTTTTACGTTGCATTAAATCATTCGAGAAACAAGACGATTCGTTGTACAGTTCTCGATTCTTAATCCTCGTCTGAATTTAGTTTTCCCCCTTCCGTGCAAAGCGTGGAAGCTTTTACGAATCCTTAAATCATTAGAGAAAGAAGACGATTCGTTGTACCGTTTTTGAAATTAATCCTCGTCTAAATTTAGATTTCCCCCTCCTGCGCGAAGCGCGGAAGCTTTGACGTTTCATTAAAATATTAAAGAAAGAAGACGATTCGTTGTACCGTTCTCGACTCTTAATCCTCGTCTGAATTCAGGTCCCCCCCCCCCCCTCTCGCGGAAGCTTTTAATTTTCATTAAATCATGAGAGAAAGAAGACGATTAGTTGTACCGTTTTCGAAAATAATCTTCGTCTGAATTTAGATTTTCCCCTCTTCCGCGCGAAGCTCGGAAGCTTTTACGTTGCATTAAATCATTCGAGAAACAAGACGATTCGTTGTACAGTTCTCGATTCTTAATCCTCGTCTGAATTTAGTTTTCCCCCTTCCGCGCAAAGCGTGGAAGCTTTTACGAATCCTTAAATCATTAGAGAAAGAAGACGATTCGTTGTACCGTTCTCGACTCTTAATCCTTGTCTAAATTCAGTCCCCCCCCCCCCTCCCCCTCCTGCGCGAAGCGCGGAAGCTTTGACGTTTCATCAAAATATTAAAGAAACCAGACGATTCGTTGTACAGTTCTCGATTCTTAATCCTCGTCTGAATTTAGTTTTCCCCCTTCCGCGCGAAGCGTGGAAGCTTTTACGAATCCTTAAATCATTAGAGAAAGAAGACGATTAGTTGTACCGTTCTCGATTCAGTCCCCCCCCCCCTCCCCCTCCTGCGCGAAGCGCGGAAGCTTTGACGTTTCATCAAAATATTAAAGAAAGAAGACGATTCGTTGTACCGTTCTCGACTCTTATTCCTTGTCTGAATTCAGGTCCCCCCCCCCCCTCCCGCGGAAGCTTTTAATTTTCATTAAATCATTAGAGAAAGAAGACGATTCGTTGTACCGTTCTCGACTCTTATTCCTTGTCTGAATTCAGGTCCCCCCCCCCCTCCCGCGGAAGCTTTTAATTTTCATTAAATCATTAGAGAAAGAAGACGATTCGTTGTACCGTTCTCGAAAATAATCCACGTCGGAATTTAGTTCCCCCTCTATCCCGCGCGAAGCGCGGAAGCTTTTATGTTTCGTTAAATCATTAAAGATTCGTATTATAGTTCTCGCCTCTGGATCCTCGTTTGAATTCAGGTCCCCCCCCCCCCCTCCCGCGCGCAAAGCGCGGAAGCTTTGACGTTTCATAAGATTAAGAGAGAAAGAAGACGATTTGCTGTACCGTTCTTGATTCTGAATTTCAAAGATATCCTTTGTCTGCTCCTTTTTCTTCCTACGCCCCCGCCTGGCTACGTGCCTGCGGTCCGATAAACATATTTTGATACCTTGTCCGACCCCGCAAGCTCAGGGGTTTAAGGCAATAACTTACGGTCAGATATGCATTTAGGTGCCCGCCTTAGGGCCCCTGGTGGGGTCGAGACGGCGGAGCCGGCCCCGGAAGCTCAGGGGTTTTAGGCGTTTAACTAAGGCCCGATGAGCTTTTTTTTTTGTATACCTTATTTTTTTTGTGACACTGGCAGGACACTATTGGCGTGGGGTACAGGGGGCAGAGCCCCCCCCCCAAATCAGGGGTTTTAGGCATTAAATTACCGTCAGATAAGCATCTATGGGTCCCCGTAGGGCCCTATAGGTGGAGTCCATGGGGGCAGAGCCCCCGGAAGCTTAGGGGTTTTAGGCATTTAATCCAGTTCAGATGAGCATATTTTGATGCCTTAATTTTTTTTTAACACGGGCAGTTAACTATTCTCTCTTTCTTGCTCTCATTCTATTTTATTTCTCTTTATTACACTTTTTCAAAAAAAGTGTAGGGGGGTGGAGGGAGCTCGAGGCTCCCGATTCCTGCCGTACCTCGGGCCCTGACATTACATGTAGGAATCTCAAGAATCATATTTCTTGCCTGGCTGTAAATTTAGGAATTTGTCATTTTCCAACAAACACATACAAACGTATAATTTACTAAAAAGTGAGAAAAAATCTCGGAAATTAAGTAATTTCAGCATTATTTGTAATCCATGGTTGTGGAATTAGAAATAAACCACGTTTGAATTTGATTTCCCCCAAGCCCCCCCCCCCCCCATCAGTACGCAAGTATCTCCTCTTTTCCTTTTTTCTTTCCCTTTCCTTCCTTCTCTCTTATTTTTGTGATTGGGGGGGGGGGTCAACAGCCTGGGAGGCAAGGCTCTTTCGGGCCCCCCCCCCCGATCTCCTTCTTTCTCCTTTTCTTTTTTCTTCCACTTTTTTCTTTCCCTTTCTCTCTTCTTTCCCTTTCCCTTCTTTTCCTTTCTTCTCTCTCTCTTTTTTTTTTTTTTTTTTTTGCGGGGGGGGGGGGGGCCAAGGCCCGCTCGGCCCCCCCTGGATCCGCGCCTGCGTACACTGATCTACAAATGCGCTAGTTGAAAGCTACATTTATTGAAATCATGTTGGCATGTGACTCTAATCAATCAGGCTATGCTATGAATTGTAACTCTTTTTTTAAATCAATCTTTTTATAAGATCCAAAATCCAAAGCTTCAAAATGATGATTTTTTTTTTCTCATGGAATATTTAAAATGATGTACTATTGCTAATACACGACCGTAAAGACTCTCAAGAAATCAGCCCGAGGTCGATGTTAATATCCTATTGCATATCCTATAGATAGACATTACGTTCGCATTACTTATTCCGCCATTGTAATTATCGCACGCTTCAACATAATTATGATAGACAGAGCCACCGAAAAAAAAAAATTGATTTTTTTTTTTTTTTCGTAAAAATTGTACCTAAAACAAAAAAAAATGCAACAACAAAAGTCCCTCTCTCCCCCACACTCACTAACATCCAAGTTACGGGCCTGACTCCGTAAACCGTTGGAGGAAAAAAACAGTCGCTGGTTTCTCTTCTTTTAACGTGCAAGTGAATGGCAACTGTGGGCAACAAAGGTCCTGAGCGTCCTTAAATTTACCTCTTCATTTTTTTTAACCGCTGCAGTTTACCGCTGCATCTAAGAACAAAGCCTAAAGTTAATTATTCGAAAGTCTTGTTAATCGTCTTGATAATTATTCAGCTTTATACTTACGTGAGCATCCACCATCCTCGTTCTCCTCATAGTCTTCTCCGCACTTGCACCAGTACTTTCCGTCTTTCTCCACACACTCGCCGTTTTCGTTGCAGTCGTTGGTTCCTTGGCTGCACTCGGACAAGGAATAGTATTTACGGGCTAGCATCTCCACTTCCTCACGTGTTTCTAAGACTATGGCTGTGTGTTATAAAACAAAGACGTATGTAAGAGTATTTTACTGTGAGATTAATTTATCCACTTGTAGAGAAATAAGAGTCATGAAACTGAATTTCAAAAGAGGCTGTCTGAAAGGTATCATAAAAAGGTTGAGTATATTGTAAATAGTAAGATATACGAATGGCAGATTACGAATTCTCTGGCATGGAGGATAGGGGGGGGAAGAAAAAAATGTCATTAGGTTTTTGGTGTGTCGTTTTGGCAAAAACATTCTATGACAAGCAAAAACAACAAAATCGGTTCCATCAGACCTCGTCTTCTTCATTTCTCTTTTTCAATTCAAATTCAAATTTGAATTTGAATTTGAATGTTGTCACACTGGCTTGTTGAATCACGACGACCTGACCATACGTTATTGAAATGTTTATCAGAATAATTATCTACTAGAATTGATGTAAAGAATCAGAACGAATCTACACGAATCAGCACGTCCTAAGCCCTTTTTACAGGTACAATGATCTACAAATGCGCTAGTTGAAAGCTGCATTTATTGAAATCATTTTGGCATGTGACTCTAATCAATTAGGCTATGCTATGAATTGTAACTTATTTGAAAATCAATCTTTTTATAAGATCCAAAATCCAAAGCTTCAAAATGATTTTTTTTTCTTCTTATGGAATATTTAAAATGATGTACTATTGCTAATACACGATCGCAAAGACTCTCAAGAAATCAGCCCGAGGTCGATGTTAATATCCTATTGCATATCCTATAGATAGATATCACGTTCGCATTACGTATTCCGCCATTGTAATTATCATACGCTTCAACATATGATGGACAGGGCCACCGAAAAAAAACACTGATTTTTTTTTTTTCGTAAAAATTGTACCTAAAACAAACAAAAAAATGCAACAACAAAAATCCCTCTCTCCCCCACACTCACTAACATCCAAGTTACGGGCCTGACTCCGTAAACCGTTGGAAGAAAAAAAAACAGCCGCTGGTTTCTCTTCTTTTAACGTGCAAATGAATTGCAACTGTGGGCAACAAAGGTCCTGAGCGTCCTTAAATTTACCTCTTCATTTTTTTTAACCGCTGCAGTTTACCGCTGCATCTAAGAACAAAGCCTAAGGTTAATTATTCGAAAGTCTTGTTAATCGTCTTGATAATTATTCAGCTTTATACTTACGTGAGCATCCACCATCCTCGTTCTCCTCATAGCCTTCTCCGCACTCGCACCAGTACTTTCCGTCTTTCTCCACACACTCGCCGTTTTCGTTGCAGTCGTTGGTTCCTTGGCTGCACTCGGACAAGGAATAGTATTTACGGGCTAGCATCTCCACTTCCTCACGTGTTTCTAAGACTATGGCTGTGTGTTATAAAACAAAGACGTATGTAAGAGTATTTTACTGTGAGATTAATTTATCCACTTGGAGAGAAATAAGAGTCATGAAACTGAATTTCAAAAGAGGCTGTCTGAAAGGTATCATAAAAAGGTTGAGTATATTGTAAATAGTAAGATATACGAATGGCAGATTACGAATTCTCTGGCATGGAGGATAGGGGGGGGGAAGAAAAAAATGTCATTAGGTTTTTGGTGTGTCGTTTTGGCAAAAACATTCTATGACAAGCAACAACAACAAAATCGGTTCCATCAGACCTCGTCTTCTTCATTTCTCTTTTTCAATTCAAATTCAAATTTGAATTTGAATTTGAATGTTGTCACACTGGCTTGTTGAATCACGACGACCTGACCATACGTTATTGAAATGTTTATCAGAATAATTATCTACTAGAATTGATGTAAAGAATCAGAACGAATCTACACGAATCAGCACGTCCTAAGCCCTTTTTACAGGTACAATGATCTACAAATGCGCTAGTTGAAAGCTGCATTTATTGAAATCATTTTGGCATGTGACTCTAATCAATTAGGCTATGCTATGAATTGTAACTTATTTGAAAATCAATCTTTTTATAAGATCCAAAATCCAAAGCTTCAAAATGATTTTTTTTTCTTCTTATGGAATATTTAAAATGATGTACTATTGCTAATACACGATCGCAAAGACTCTCAAGAAATCAGCCCGAGGTCGATGTTAATATCCTATTGCATATCCTATAGATAGATATCACGTTCGCATTACGTATTCCGCCATTGTAATTATCATACGCTTCAACATATGATGGACAGGGCCACCGAAAAAAAACACTGATTTTTTTTTTTCGTAAAAATTGTACCTAAAACAAACAAAAAAATGCAACAACAAAAATCCCTCTCTCCCCCACACTCACTAACATCCAAGTTACGGGCCTGACTCCGTAAACCGTTGGAAGAAAAAAAACAGCCGCTGGTTTCTCTTCTTTTAACGTGCAAGTGAATGGCAACTGTGGGCAACAAAGGTCCTGAGCGTCCTTAAATTTACCTCTTCATTTTTTTTAACCGCTGCAGTTTACCGCTGCATCTAAGAACAAAGCCTAAGGTTAATTATTCGAAAGTCTTGTTAATCGTCTTGATAATTATTCAGCTTTATACTTACGTGAGCATCCACCATCCTCGTTCTCCTCATAGCCTTCTCCGCACTCGCACCAGTACTTTCCGTCTTTCTCCACACACTCGCCGTTTTCGTTGCAGTCGTTGGTTCCTTGGCTGCACTCGGACAAGGAATAGTATTTACGGGCTAGCATCTCCACTTCCTCACGTGTTTCTAAGACTATGGCTGTGTGTTATAAAACAAAGACGTATGTAAGAGTATTTTACTGTGAGATTAATTTATCCACTTAGAGAGATAAGAGTCATGAAACTGAATTTCAAAAGAGGCTGTCTGAAAGGTATCATAAAAAGGTTGATTATATTGTAAATAGTAAGATATACGAATGGCAGATTACGAATTCTCTGGCATGGAGGATAGGGGGGGGGGGGGAAGAAAAAAATGTCATTAGGTTTTTGGTGTGTCGTTTTGGCAAAAACATTCTATGACAAGCAACAACAACAAAATCGGTTCCATCAGACCTCGTCTTCTTCATTTCTCTTTTTCAATTCAAATTCAAATTTGAATTTGAATTTGAATGTTGTCACACTGGCTTGTTGAATCACGACGACCTGACCATACGTTATTGAAATGTTTATCAGAATAATTATCTACTAGAATTGATATAAAGAAACAGAACGAATATACACGAATCAGCACGTCCTAAGCCCTTTTTACAGGTACAATGATCTACAAATGCGCTAGTTGAAAGCTACATTTATTGAAATCATGTTGGCATGTGACTCTAATCAATCAGGCTATGCTATGAATTGTAACTTATTTTTAAATCAATCTTTTTATAAGATACAAAATCCAAAGCTTCAAAAAAAAATTCTTCTTATGGAATATTTAAAATGATGTACTATTGCTCATACACGATCGCAAAGACTCTCAAGAAATCAGCCCGAGGGCGATAATAATATCCTATTGTATATCCTATAGAATCCTATTGAATAAAGTGAACTTGAACTTGAACTTGATAGATATTACGTTCGCATTACGTATTCCGCCATTGTAATGTTTGTACGCTTGAACAGATGATGAACCGGGCCACCGAAAAAAAAACTGATTTTGTTTTTCAAAATTGTACCTAAAACTTGATTTTCAAACAGAAAAATGCAACAAAAAATCCCGCCCTTCCCCCACACTCACTAACATCCAAGTTACGGGCCTGACTCCGTCCACCGTTGGAAGAAAAAAACAGTCGCTGGTTTCTCTTCTTTTAACGTGCAAATGAATGGCAACTGTGGGCAACAAAGGTCCTGAGCGTCCTTAAATTTACCTCTTCATTTTTTTTAACCGCTGCAGTTTACCGCTGCATCTAAGAACAAGGCCTACGGTTAATTATTCGAAAGTCTTGTTAATCGTCTTGATAATTATTCAGCTTTATACTTACGTGAGCATCCACCCTTATTGTTCCCATCATAGCCTTCTCCGCACTTGCAGGAGAACCAGAACCTGCCGTCGCTGTCCCTGGGACCGGGTAAACACCCGCCGTGTCCGTCACAGTAGTTGGTTTCCTGGATGCACTGGCGAAAGGAGGGATATGTACGGGCCACTTGCTCACGTGTTTCTATGGCTGTGTGTTATAAAACAAAGACGTACAGTATGTAAGAGAATTTATAGTGAGATTAATTTATCCACTTGAAGAGAATGAAGAGAAAGAAGAGTCATGAAACTGAATTTCAAAAGAGGCTGTCTGAAAGGTATCACAAGAAAGTTAATTATATTGTAAATAGTAAGTTGTAAGAATGGCAGATCCGGAATTATCTGGATGATGGGGGGGGGGGACAAGAAAAAAAGGGTCATTAGGTTTTTTGTGTGTCGTTTTGGCGAAAACATTCTATGACAAGCAACAACAACCAAATCGGCGCCATGAGACCTCGTCTTCTGTATTTCTCTTCTTATTGAATTGGGTGGGAGCGCGTGCTCCTGCGCACCCCTTTGGGTAGTCAAAAACCTAATCTTATAATGATATGTGGAGAGCCAGTTAGGACGTTAGTTAATATCACATAAGACAACAATAACGTTCTTCTGGCTATAATAAATAAGACCTACATTCCATGAATCACGTATTAAACAAATAAGTATATTAAATCAACATGTGCCTCAAAACATGGTTAAACCAAGAGGTAGCTATACCGATCAATTTATGTTTAATGTTAGCTGTAAAGATCTGGATGGCTTGTACGATATGATTGTAACTGTAGATGTTTATGTGTTCAACTGTTCAGATGTCTTCAACCGATTTGCAATGTGTTTCAGTGGCGGATCAAGGGGGGCCCGGGTGGCCCGGGGGCCCGCCCCCCCCCCCCCTTGAGAAAAAAAAATCATGTAAAAACACGTGATTTTTACCTTTTTTGGGGGGTTGGCCCCCCCCCCCCCCCCCTGGCGGTCAAGGAGGGGCTGCAACGTTTAAAAGTCGGTCCCCAGACGTAAATAATCATATCTGATTGATACACGTCTGTAATCCCCCAATACACACACACACACACACATACATTAATTTGATATCTTGTCTGATTCAAGTTCTGTTGCCCGTAAAGGTGGAATAATTGTTGTCTTTCCTCTTTTCATGAAATGGCTGCGACATTATATTATATCTCCGCAGAACTTAATTCAGTCAATCTTACATTCTGAGAAGATGTTCTTTATCTGTAATGAATATTGTCACAATATTTCATGAAAAGAGGTTTAAAAAAATCCCCAGCTTTATGTGCAAGAGTGAAGCTTTGACTTGCCCTTATATACATGTATCTACTTACGATAGCAAGAAGAATCTGCACCGCGCACCCTATATGGCATCACACACTTGCAGTAGTACGTTCCCCATCTGCCTTCAGTACATGTACCATGGTTGTTGCACTTGTTGGTGTCTGATTCGCATTGCCCCTTGGTGTCGCGACTTTGCATTTGCAGTTCCTCGTCTGTAAGAATACAAAAGACGATTTAACCCAGAGCCATCTAGATGTATAATTTGGCCAACCCGGTTCGAGTTTGGCGATATGGTGAAAATTGCGTTTTGGGGCAAGCACACAACAAAAATATAATACATGCATGTATATGCCATGTTGTGACCAAGCGTCAAGCCACATTGGCCAAACTCTGTGTGTAGATGGCTCTGATCTTACCTACTCGTATTTCCCTGCCTATGCTGTATGACATTATGGAGGCGCGGTGGCTCAGTGGTAGGTTGATCTTGTAACCAGGACGTCCCTGGTTCAAAACCAAGTCGATGCACTAGTGCCCTTCGGTAAGGTATTTATCCGCATTACCAAGTTCTTTAAAGAGAACTTAAAGCCGTCGGTTCCTTGCAGTAGATAGTGAGTTTGAGTTTATTTTATTTATACACGGTAAAAGCCCGAAACAGTTCGCAGACTAGTTTCAATCAGGGCCGTGTCGACATAGTCATGAACATCTCTCCCGTTAGTCATGTACAAAAATATTATTAATTTATGTTTTTCTCATAAGCTCCGTCTCAGTTGGGATAATACCAAAATTATAGCAAAGATGGCATTTTATTCAAGCTACTCTAAAAAAAACGAATAGAGAGTTGTCCGTCCCTACATCACGGCCAATTTGACATGCATGTCCAATACGTATAGTGATAACAACTTTTTTAAAGAAATAACGTTGTTATTGTCAGCCCGATTTCGTTTAAACTTTCACCAATCTGCTTTTCTGATTTTCCGCTTTGTTTCAGCATAATTTGCTATTAAGGTTAGATATTCCTTTAATGCGATTTACAAGAAGTCTCTAGGATGGAGTTTTCCTGTCTGTTCCTAAATTTCCCGCATTAATAAATCCAGAATGAATCAATCGAAGAGAATAAAATAAAAAGACAGAGTTAACCTTTATGTGGTGGGACAAAGAATAAAAGAGAAATAGAAGCCAAAAACATTCGTTCTAAGTAAAGATTATATGTAGTTTTCTGGGAAAGTTGACTTTGTATTATTGTCGTATATCCCCTTTCTTTTACTCAATCACGAGTTCAATAATCGAAGAGTGTAAAATAAAAAAACATACAAGCTTGTCTTACACGATAACAAAGATAAAGAGTTGAAAAGGTATTTCAAGTAGACCTAGTGATAATGTAAGTAATTACAAAAAGTTGACAATGTAAATGTTTTTAAAGAGGCCGTCAGGCGGATGCAAATACTTACTTTCATTGAGCATTGATTTCAGAGCCATCTGCAGCTTACTCACTAAAATTCAAAAAAAATGTGTTGTCTGTTTTATCGTAATATCAGCACATGAGGCAAATGAAATAGATATATTATGACATGGTGGGTGACCTAATATCTACATTATTTGCATCTTATCTTACTTCTGTAAAACTTCTTTACGACTTTTTGTTTTAATCAGTATATTTTACGTTGAAAATTTACATGCGAGTAAGACGACTTTACTTCAACTCCACAAACACACACATACACAAAAACTCACACGTACACAAACTCACACGCATACGCAAACATACACGCTAAAGTGAGTCAGTCCATAATCTGCAACCCAATGTGCTACTCCAAGATCTCCCTTTCTTGATTCTCAGTGCATATAAAGAATACAGATTATCCCGAAACCTGGCAGACTCAAACGCTACATACACACACAGGAATTCATTAATCTCATACCAAGATGGGAATTGCAAAATGATTTAACTGTACGATGGCAAAAAGGGTAACTGAAATAAAAGTAACCAGGAATAACTTCCTTCCATCTCTTCAGCAGTGAATACATTAGAATTATGTATGCCTGGCAAAGTGGCTCAAATTTAGCTCAAAGTATTTAGGCAGATATCTTTGACACATGGGACGAATTGTCCAATACTGTTCGATTACTAAACTTCGGTAAAACGAAGCATTTTTACAAAAAAATGAATATGTGTACTTTTATATAACGAAAACGGAATGGTGTAAATATATACAACGTTACATACTCAGATTCTCATCGGCGGCTACCATTCCGACGCCGATGAAGGCGACCACGAAAGCAAGGTTAAACTTCATCTTGATGTCTTATTCCTGACTCAGCGCGAAGCATATAAGAGTAATTTCTCCAGGCGACAAACCTTAACAAACTACCCCACTCATCAGGACCGGTCACTATTTATAGGGGTGCACAAGGACCAATTGGAACGCAAGAACAAAGTGCCACGCCGACGCCGACTGCAGTCGACTGGGCACTCATCCGTCCACCGGTTACACTTTGTTTTGCACCATGGCGCCGGGGGGGGGGGGGGCGAACATTAAACTGTGCGAGTCTTTAGAAATTGGCGTTTGCGTAGGAGGCTTCCTCGTATTAATCTGCATTCTTTCGGGATTAACTGAGATCTTAGAAAACCATCCATCTCCCACTGATCCTTCGTTTCGCAAATCCGATTGAAAGATGTTTCCACAAAGAGTTAATCCTGAGGGGGAAGAAGGGCAATAACCCGATATTTTGGTCGAGACACATATGGAAAACTTACGCGCATCTGCTTTGCGCATCGTCGCGTATCCTGTTAAGCACGGGGAACGTACACAAAAAAAAGCCATGTTTTGATATAATTTCTGGTATTATGGGAAAATGGAAATTTGTTAAAAAAATCTTCGGACGGTTCTTATAATTTGAAATGTCGTCTTAAAAATGGTACTAAATATTTGGGATAATTCTTTCAGGGGAAACGGTAGCCATTTTCCCCTAGAAGTTTTGACTTTTTCAGCCTGCCTATGGAGATTGCACTGTTTTCCCCCTTTTTTGTCGGTTTTCGCTCAATCAACTAGTCGGCAAATCTTACACGAGTGACGTATAAAAAATCTTCGGACGGATTCAGAAACCTTGCCATCCCACCTTTACGTTGGTATAACGATTGTTTTCATTCGTTGAGAGGAAACGGTAGCCATTTTCCAACCAATAAAAAGTAGCTATTCATAATAAACCAAGGTGACTGGGATAGTGTAGCGCTATAGCTACTCACAACGAGTGCGCCCGTACCGTACGAACAATGCACAGTTATAGCTTCCGTGCATGCAATGGCTGTAGAGGTCAGTGTGTGTATTTAACGCAGTGCGTACAGAGTGTGTGTGCGTTGCGCTTAAAATCTCAGAGACCGCATCATGTCTATACATGCGCATCCGAATGGGAAGTCAGTATAATCATTGGCAGAGGGAATGAGTTCGATTTCGTCGACGGTGTGATATGGCAAGCCTCTGCTGGTGTAGTCTACCGTATTTTGCATTTATTTAACTAGGTGAGTTTCATTTCTAATCCTAGTTTGTTAGTGTTAGTAAGTAGTCAACGAGAGCAAGCCCTCGCACCCCCGCTTTGTCGCATTGAACTAGTCCGATCAGTGTACTTTCACGCAAGAGTGCACTTGAGCGCTCTCTCTTCGTGAAAGCGGTTGTTTAGTGCTGTATTCTTTTATGCGCGTTTAGGGCTAAAAGTTTTCCATATTCGCGGTTCCGACATTATCGTCGATCCTGCATGACATGAGCATATTTCGCATCATAACAGAGGTTTTAGAGAGGAGAAAGGGGAATCAGAGAGAGCAGAGAGAGAGAGAAAGAGAGAGAGGGAGAGAGAGAAAGAGAGGAAGAGGGAGAGAGACAGGGAGAGAGAGAGAAAGAGAGAGGACGTGAGAGAGAAGGGGGAGAAGGGAGAGAAAAGAGGGAAATATTCTCTTTAGCATGTTTACAAAACGCATCCTTAAAGATACTATATCCCTTTTGCAGCCAACCTCAAATTCTGTAGAACTTTGCAGGAATTATGAATATATCATGTATATCCTATTTGTGAAATTTAAACGTTAGCAGTGTCCTTATATTCAACAAATTATGCGAGGAAACCCGTTTACTTGCTAGACTTCACTGTCAGACACTATTGTCAGTATTGAGTGGCTGACTGGCTTTTTCTTCTTCTTTGGTAATAACATACATAAAAAGAGCTATAAAGGGTGTGTCTACTACAATAACCCACTTCTTGTAAATGCCAAAATTAAACTGATTGAATCTTTGCGCAGCATAAAATGTATGACCATGCGGTACAATGGTCTAAAAATCAAGACCATTACTTATTGGCTCTATAGCTCCTAAGTTCTAAATTAGTATTATCTTTCAAATGCCATTGGAATTTAACCTTTTCACTTTTTTTGGCCTGCAAAAGAGACATAGTACCTTTAAATTAGATCTAATACTCGGTTTCATGCTTACGCGTCGCATGATTTAATGTCTAATTTATGTTGGTTTCCTTTATATATATATATATATATATATATATATATATATATATTTGATTCTTCAAGAGCTGTGATCCTTTGTTATCCTTTTGCACTATTTAAGTTATTTACTTCTCTTTTCTAGGTTATTTTCCTGGCACAACGATTAGGAAAACCACCCAACCATCCCTCAAATTCATTTAATCCTATTTTGAAGATATCTTGACCCGGAATCCTGACTTATCATAGCTTAGTAATTGACGGGACCAGTGATTTTTGCGACTGATTACATTGATCACTATGTGCAATAAATCGCAAAAATCAATCACACGATCAATTGCTAAGCTATGGCTAAGCTATACAGGGCCCTGTCGTTCAATATTCAATTCTGTCAAAGTTGAACAACATTACGAAAGAGGGGTTACATGTCATTCTTTCAGAAGTTTCGTTATTCCGAAAATGAAATAAGGTTTGTAATTTTTAAAGAATTGAATAGGGGTTCCAAAAGTGAACCTTGTACCGTTTTCTGAAATGACACCTTCAGAATAATGCATTCATTGTTCGAAAGTAGGAATCCGTTCGCATGGGAAATTAGTATTTCGGAATTATGAATAATAGTAACCACCGAATAATGAACCTCCGAAAAAACTACAGGGCATCCCGATCAAAACATTTCCGTGCGCAAGCGCTTGAATTGTGAACAGTGGTGAAAAAAGGGGACATTTCATCTCTGCATTTGCTACACAAAGGCAAACTTGTCTGGACAATTATACTTCAGGGGCAAGTCCACTCCAAAAATAACTTTCTTTCAATAGAAGCAGAAAAATCAGACAAACCAATCGAAAAAAGTTTGATCAAAATCGGATAACTAATAAGAAAGTTATGACATATTGCCAACTCACTCGTGAGTCTGTGACCTTACTATCCACTAATCATTTTCTCTATATCGATAATATAAATTTTCAATTTTTCCCCTAAGAATCTTATTTCTTTACACCAGCATCCAAGTTAGATCGATAATAATATGTTGATGTGTGGATGCACTAATCTAGAGTAATTTTGTTTCAGTTTAATCATGAAAAATGTGAATTTTGATAAATTATTTTTTAGAAAAAATCAATAATTATGAATATACAATATTCAGAAAATAGTATCTGATTCAATTCTTCAAAGGTCATAAAAGATTTTGTGAAATGTCATGCACGCGATATGATACAAAACATATAACCTCGGCAAAGGGACGGGGGAAATCAAGTTTTGGGGGATAAAAAGGGAAATTAATGGGATTAAACTATATGAAGCAATTAATAAATAGTAAGGACAATGACGTCACAAACTGATAACTAAATTGGCAATCTGTGTAATGATTTCAGTTGTTCTATAGTTTTACATACTTTTTCAAAAATCCATAACTTTCTTATTTCTAATGTCCTTTGGCAAGACATTGATCTACATTTGCCACTCTCCACCCAGGTGTTAAAATGGGTACCCGGTAGGATGCGAAAGCTAATGTGGTTTGATTAGCAAGTGGCGCTTGTAAAATGGCGACTGGCTGGAATGCTCCCCAGGGAGTGGAGAATGTGCACACCTTGTGTGCGGGTAAGCCTGAATCCGATGACCGGGGTAATAATATGTTCCGCGCCTAGAAACGTAGTATTAGGCGCATTATAAATGTGAGCTATTATTATTATTATTATTAGTTATCCCATTTTGCTCAAACTTTTGATTGGTTTGTCTGATTTTTCTGCTTCTATTGAAAGTAAGTTATCTTTTGAGTGGAAGGCCCGGTCACACAGAGGGGACGCATTGGGGACGCACGGCCAGCGCATTGGAAATTTGCAATTTAGGCCAGTGCGTTGTCGTTCGCTACGGAACGAAGGTCGCTATTCATAATAGGAGTAGAGGGTCGCTGTTCATAATAGGAATAGAGGGTCGATATTCATAATAGGAATAGAGGGTCGCTATTCATCATAGGAATAGAGGGTCGCTATTCATAATAGGAGTACAGATTCGCTATTCATAATACGAAATAAGGGTCGCTATTCATAAGTGGAATAGAGGGTCGCTATTTATAATAGGAATAGAGGGTCGATATTCATAATAGGAATAGAGGGTCGCTATTCATCATAGGAATAGAGGGTCGCTATTCATAATAATAATAGGAATAGAGGGTCGCTATTCATAATAGGGTCACTATTTATAATACGAAATGAGGTTCGCTATTCATAATACAAAACGAGGGTCGCTATTCATAATACGAAATGAAGGTCGCTATTCATAATAGGAGTAGAGGGTCGCTGTTCATAATAGGAGTAAAGGTTCACTATTCATAATACGGAATGAGGTTCGCTATTCATAATAGGAGTAGAGATTGGCTATTCATAATACGAAATGAGGGTCGCTATTCATAATAGGAATAGAGGGTCGCTATTCATAAAAGGGTCACTATTCATAATACGAAATTAGGGTCGCTATTCATAGTGCGGAATGAGGTTCCCTATTCATTATACGGGATAAGGGTTGCTATTCATAAAAAATGAAAATTAAATAAGCAATAAACACAATGTTAAAAGGAAAGCGAAATAATTGGCGTAGGCGGGAGGGGGGGCACATGGCCCCGAATATTTGTAGAAAAACATTTATTGAAAACATATTGAAAAAATTTCTGGAACAAAAAAAAGAAAGAGGCGTGCCCCCCCCCCCCCCCCCATCAGTCCGACCTGTTTGTGTTTCACGGGGTAGGGGTGCGGTTAGGGTGTAGCAGTGTTGCCATCAAGGGTTTGATCTATCATGTCCCTTACCTTCAGCAAATGAAGGAAGCGACAAAAAAAGGGGTTGTAGGCAGGAGCGTCGCTAGACCTTTTTCAGTGGGGGGGGGGGGGGGGGTGTAGAGGCCACCGAGTACCGACAAAAAATAGCCAGCAATTACCGACAAATATATTAATGCCAATGTCCCAATGTGTACAAATTTATTCCTATAAATCAGGGGCCAGAAGCTAAATTATTTTCCAGTCCTCCAACCCCCTCCCGCGCAAAGCGCGGAAGCTGTGACGTTTCTTTAAAATATTAGCGAAAAAAGACGATTCGTTGTACCGTTCTCGACTCTTAATTCCTTGTCTGAATTTAGTTGTTTTTTTAAGCTTTGCCGTTTAATTAGGAAGAAGATTCGTTGTACCGATTCTTAATCATTGGCTGAATTTTCAAAAATGTTTCTTTATCCGATAAAAAGTCACACTTCGTAGGGGAAACAAAATTACCGGCTGACCGACATAATACATCCCACCGACTTCAAACTTCTACATAAATATAGTATACGAGGATCGAGCAAGAATACCGACACAGCGGACCCGACACAGCAACATATTATCTATGCGTATCTTTATTGCTTCCTCGACGTGGCGACTCCACCAAACATACCCCCTGTGTTGCACTAAAAAGACCTTATCAGACGTCCTTATCCATCACCATCACCCTCACCCCAACAATAAAAGACAATAAATGTTTGATTCATATTCGGATTGCATTACCTCTTTGTACGATACATGACGCGAAAACCGTAAAGGTCCGAAAGTGTACAAGCCCCCTATCCCCCAAAGTCTCAAACAAATCACAATTCTAAAGTGCCCCCCCCCCCCCACGTCTCACCCCTCTCCGGACAGTAAGTAGGCTCGTGGTCCGGCCCAACTCCGCTAGGTCCATAAGTCCTACTACTAAAAGCTACTTTCTACAAAACATAATTGTCGTATACACAATGAAAATTTCTGAAATAGCAAACTCAGTCCTTAAATAACTATGAAAATGGGCCTGCTTGGTCTACTTAGTGTCGCATTGGCATATCCTGGATAAGATCAGTCGGGGGCACACTGGTGGGGCGAAATTTCCCACAAGGAAGTCAAATTACGTTAAAAACAAGACAAATGTTCAGGGCCATGTGTCGCCTTGGGGGTGTCCTCCGTCCAAGGTTTCCCTTTGTTATGAGCATTTTGGATATTGCTTAGTAGTGGGGGCTGTTAGGGCTAAATAGGGGTTGTTTGGTG